TTATTTATTTAAGTTTGACAATGTTAATTGAAACCTTATTTTCATGAAATAGAGGGAAATTCTTAGATTATGATTACTAAAGATTACTATATAGAAAAAAGTATTTATTTGTCATCTTAGTTTACTTCCTTTTTTTTTTTTAAGTTTGACAATGTTAATTGAAACCTTATTTAGATATTCACTAAACAAAATTAAGTTGTTTCCTCACAGTACCAAGACAACCAAGGTGTTCCGAACCAACTATAAAACGATTAATTTATTTAAAATGTAGTTAAACATTTTAATGTTTATTTAGTCATAAATATTTTAAATATATATTATTAAATTATTTTATAACATTTTTTAACTTTGCCTACCAATGCGACATTTGGTACTCTACTTTGATGACACGTGTACTTATCATTAATTGTAATTTGACTAAAATAATTTTTTAATAGATATATCATATATTTAGAAAAATAGTCATTAAACTATGAAATTACTACATATTAAACTACAATTTTGAAATGAATTTTTTCTAGCATAATTGCAACTCCCTTAACTAATTACAAAATCAAATCTTTAAAATTTTGACATGAGATTATGTTTTATACTACAAAGTAATAGTTCACTACTATAAATAATTCTCCAATTTTACAAGAATTTTTCCATCTTTAGTTTTTTTTATACCATAATTTTACAAATTTTACCATGTTCTAATTTTAAATCAGAAAATCCTTTAAAAGTTTAACTATTAGTTACATTTCTTTGTTCTCCTTATTTTAACTTCTCGAATCATATTAACATAGTTTTTGTAACATCAGTTTCTTCTCTTTAGCTTTTTTTACACAAGAAGTTTTTTGTCTTGTGTCAAAAGCTGATCATGAATTGGAGAGAAGTAATAATGATTCCTTGATGAGTTAGCGTAATGCCAACAGTCGTTGCCAATAGACAGCATTATCCACAGAAAACATGTATACATAATTTAGGGTAGAAAATATATATACAAACTTTTCACTCATTTGCTATAGGTAGTTAATTTATTTTGTCCTACCACATACAAATCTACATTACGCTACCAAAATATGCTAAATCTTTTTATCCATATAAGAAGTTTAATTTTTAATAATTAGATATCTTAATCAAATTTCTAGCGGCATGTTCAAAACCGATGATCATAAGCTATGTCTTCCATCACAATGTCGAATGACACTATACATGGAATCATGTGTCGTGTGAAATCGTAGATCATAACATTCTTAACCAAGACTCAAGTTAATCTCTATCTCAGAACCTTGTGGGTTGGACGTAAAACATCTCGGGGTTGGCTCATCTCATTGGGCAAAAGAACCCCAATTTATTTTTAGGACTTTTCTTTTCCCGTTCCCCCACCTCAGCATAGTGCTTCGCTTCCGGTTCTTCGGAAGAATCAACTTACCTCTATCTTTTTATTATATAAAATTGTGTTTTACCGATATAACAACATAAGATATATATATACATGAATATAGTGGAAAATGAGAGAGTGATTATTCATAAGATGGAAATGAAAAATTGATAAACGTAAATAAAAGTAAATATTACAAATAATTTGAATAAAAGGGTTTTAGTTAAGTAAAAAGGTTTTCAAAGAGACATCTTAAATCATATGCTTTAATTTTTTTAATGTGAAGAAGGTTCATTTATTACTTCAACTTTCAAAAAAATTGGTAATACATGTATTTACATTTTCACAAAAAAAGAATATTTTAAGTTTAAAAAATAATTAAAACATACATTTTTCACGGAAAAAAACAGAAAATAAACTATAGTGCATTGAAAACTCTTAATTAACTAAAGTGTCTTTTTTAAAGACATCATAATTTGTAAACATCAAAATTAATATTTTTAATTACTTTCGAGTTATATATTAATAATTATAGATAAATTATATATATAATTTGTCCTTTTTTGTACATTTCTCATATTTTATATTTCTCATATTTTATATGACTTTTTTTTCCCTCTGAACTGACTTTTTTCCTACGAAGAAGGTTCATCTATTTTTTTTTTCCAAGACAATTGGTAATACATGCATTTGCATTTTCACAAAAACAAATACTTAATATTTTAAGTTTTTTTAATAGTAAAACATATTGTTTTCACAAAACAAAAAAAGCAATTGTGTGCATAATTTTTAATCAACTAATGTGTCTTTCTAAACACATCATACTTTGTAAACATCAAAATTACTATTATTAATTATTAATTATTTTGAGCGATATATTAACAATTATAAATAAATTTTATATCTAATTTAATATAAATATTATTCTATATTCAAAATTAAAACCGAATATATAATCTACGCATCGCGTGGACAACTTCTAGTAATATAATATAATAGAGATTCAGATAGATAATAGTTGGTTCTTAACCAAATTTCAACTATAATAGAGTACTTATGATGCATCATGCACATTTGTATCTTATACGAATAAGAAACTAAGTGTGCAAATTGATATGTATCCATGCAGAGTTAGTTTGGATTTTGGATGATTTTTATCTCATACTCAATTGTCTCGCAATCAATTTATGAAGACATATCAAATGTTGTCAAATCATTTGTGTATGAACATACGTTACGTGATGTTCAATCTAATAAGAGATTGTATATAAAAGGCACAAGAGTTATTTGTCTTGTCAACCATTGGAATGTTCTCAGAAGTTTATAATAACATAAGGTTGTGAACTAATTAATATATTAGTTATACCATTTCCAGTAATAACAATATAAAATGCTTAACAAAAGTAATAAAATAAAATGTTGGTAAATTAATACTTACATCACACATTCACCTACAATAATTCCAACACTCCAAAAACTATATCACATTTGTTGAGTTTTTTTTTTCTCAAAAAACATTTTGTGGTCTAGGACACGATCGTTACATTAACAAATCATTTGAAGATGAACCGGATCTCGTGCTCTTTGGTCTGGTTTTTCCATCGAAAGTGTATATCAATCGTTGGCTTTGTGCATCCATCTTCTTCAGAAGATCGACCAGTTGCTTCGATGATATCCATTGGTTGACGCGTAATATCATCGAGTTTAGTGTTCATTTCAGACATCTTACCCATAAGTTTTTTGATATCCAGCCATTGATTGACTTGAACATCCACATCTATCATCCATCTCAAAGAAGAGTCCAACTCCTTGATTCTTCTCTTGTACCTAAAGAAAGATTCACAACAACAACAAAAAAATTGCATGAAAAATAAAAGATTTTGGTAGGATATTTTTTTGTTAAAGTATATACTTTGGTTGGTATAATTTAACACTACATTACATTTACATATGGAAATGATTAACGACATTCACAAACCTATATTTCCTGAGTAAGTTTCGGAGTTTAAGCTCCGCATAAGCATCAACGAGACGAATGGCTTTCTCGAGAAGACGTTTAAGCTCTTCGATGACTTTTCTGAAAGGTTCATCGACTTCTTCGGTGAGGGTATCGATCTTAATGACAAATGGAGTTATCTTATGGAGTGTAGCATCGAGACGGTCCAATATACATCTTGTGATTAAGGATCTCTCCTTGGCTCTTATGATGGCGTCGTGAAGGAGTTGGAGGGACAATCCAAGAGCAGCACTTGTAAGAAGCTCAACAAGAGGCATTTTCTTCAGAAAAGCTTTAAAGCTTTGATTAAATGGAGACTAATCGATATTATAGAAGGAATTTAAGGACGTGGTTGGCTTTAACTTCTTGCCGGAGGTTAATTATCGTATGACTCTATGTGGAAATGGTCTTTGTTAACAAATAATTTTATTTCTAAGTAAATACACATACTTGAATTAACTTTTTCAAATTGCTCTAGTTTTGTAATTATAGAATCTTTTGACTTTGTGTAGTTAAGATAACTTTCTTCAAGTTGTTGTGAACTAATGTTAGTATATATTCTCAAGTATCCCGTTGAACAAAAAAAAAAATATCATGTGTCCAACACACAGACGCACCTATAGCGCGTGTAATACACCACCAGAAATCTCCAAAATTCAGGGAAATCGAGTTCTTTTTTAAGCGCGTGGTCGGAAATTCAGGGAAACATTCCTTTTGGGCTTTTAAAAATTATTAAATGGGCCTTAGGTTGTGCTGTTATGCAACTTAATAAAGTTAGGAAGGATCAAATCTTGATACATGGTGATTGTTTTTGTCTATTAAGTGAAAACGCAAAGCAACGATCATGGATCAGGAACACTATTTTGAACGGTATGGTTCATCAAATCTTACTGTGACACAGGCTGCAAAATCCCAGATTGGGAAAGTCCCACCATTCTAAAGTAGATGTAGACCCTTGAGGTAAACATGTGCTATTCATTGTGGAAAGTGATATTTATCTTGTTCTCATCTTCTCTATCATTGATTGTAGAAGCATCTGATGAGGAAAGAGGTTGTGGTAGGACCTTGCTTCTACAATCTTTTCAAGAGGTCTTATCCCAAAATCATAAATTCATAATGATTTATGAACAAGAAAATGTTCATGTATTGTTCTTCCAATCAACGATGGTGTCATATATGTCCTCTAAAATCACTTTCCCCAGCTAGATCAGTCTATATTAAAATGTCTCACATAGATAGATTGGGTATTTTTACTCTAATATATAAGGCAACATGTGTCATAAAATATAACACTGCTAAATATTATTATTTTAATATATGTGTATAAGAATTCACGAGAAGAAGATGTAGAGAATAATAACGAAAGACTTCTTATTCTTCTTATATCTTGTTTAACGACGAACCAACATATATATATACGAACAAAAGACTTGGTGAAAAAATCTTATAAGTTGGAGAAAAAGTTTTTTAATGGCTAAATCTTATATAAAATAAAATCGAAAAGATAGATTATCCGTTAATAACAACATGAGGTTTTTTACTCATTGTCAACTAGGTTTAAATGGTAAACCCATGCATTTTTCAATATAATATTAGAGCTAAGTTAACCCAATATTAGAAATTATGGGTTTCCCGATCAAAACTATGACAATTTTTTGGGTCGTTTCTCGTGTCATCATTGTGTAAGGGTCATGCTAATCATCTCTGTATAATTCTAATGTTTTTTTTTGTTTTTTTTTTTATGGGAAATCTTCGAAAGGATCTTTGAGATAAACGTGACCAACAAGATGCTTCAAACCGCTCATGACTTATCTCACAGTGATCAGGGTTTAACTCATTTTGCACACACGTTCTTTTAGTTGCATTTACTGTTGAAAGTGCCTCTTGATGATTGTAACAGTCTTCTTCTGAGGTCATTCGTTATTGATAGATCTATTGTCTTTCTATATGAAGGACATGTTACTGTAAATTGCTAAATAGATATTTAATTCTCTCGTCTATTTCAACTCTTTGTTTCCTTCTCTTTTCTCTTTTAGTGCTCTCAAGCTTTTAGACTATTTCCATTATTAGGTTGTCATTTATACTTTCCCGTAATGAATTATTTCTTCTTTTTTTTTTCTTTTCTTTTTTCTTTTTTTTTTAACATACCAAGAGGTTTTTGGCCGAAGCCGAAACTCGTAATCCCTCCAGACCCGAAACCACAGCATGTAATATTTGTTCTTCTTCTTCACTTTCTTTTTGAGAGCTTATTTTGGCATTGGGTTGTACTTGCGTAGTTGGATTTCCTTCCAAGTTCAAAATTTATTCATTCTTAATTAAGCAAAATAACCCCCAAAAATGATCTTTTAGTAATACCACTAAAAGGATATTGTAGAAAGGAAAATAATTGCATATACAGTATATTGGGTCAAATAAGCTTAAGACATGTGTTATATTCTTCTCAATCTATTTATCTTTAAAGATATTGTTTTAAATATGTATAAAAATATGAACCTAGACTGACTAAAATTGTTAGAAATTTTTTCGATTTTAGATTTGTATAAATAAAGAGCACCATCTTTTTTTTTTTTTTGGTATGAAGAGCACAATTATGAAAAGCACCAAATATATCCAGTTTATATCCCTAGATTCAAATAAGTGTTTATTGAGATATTATTATATACTACATTGTTAAAATAAGAAATTTGTTTGAGAATTCTTGAGCCATTACCAATATTTGAAGAAAAACAATATCTCAGACAGAAAGCTTAAACACACAAAAAAATATGCATCTCACCTAATTTTTATTCCCATACCTTATGGATTCAAATGGTTATGGCGATAGAGCGGACGAATCCGTTTGCGGTTCGAACCGCTTTTTATTTAGCATTCGTAACCTATAATTTATTATAGTGTAGATGAAAAAAAAACGGTATTGGGCTGACTAACTACAGACTTTTTTACATAAAAAATCATCATCTGTGATGATTTATTGACTGTTCTAAAATAGAACGGTTAATTTAGTCTATTTTGTACACTGTATCCAATCAAACGTTATATTTCTCTTGTTGTCATTTCTCTTGTAACGTTTAGATAACCAAATACTGACTCGAAAAAGTTGCAATGGCCGAGTAAATGTCATAATTAACTGATCTGACTTGCACTGACAAGATTTAAAGAGATAGATAGAAAGAAAAAAAAAAGTTGAACAGTTTCATATTTGTCAATTGTCACTATGGACTTCTGATTCCACAATGCCTTTGCATATTGTTTTCACACGTTCTTAACTTTAACCGTCCAATTTTTTTCTTTCCATTGATTAACAAAAAGTCATTACTTTTTTTTTGCGTGAAACCCTTAATTAACCGACTAATATTTTATTCTTGTTGCGCAATCTCTTTTCTACTTCATAATATCAATTACTCCACTAATTAAGAATAATTAACCCACTAATTGAAAATTTTATTTTTGCCGACGATTTTATGAATCGTACATAAAGACAAACCTCAAACAAGAGGTAAACATCATTCTTAAAAAAAAAAAAGTATGATATATTTCGTATCACGAAATAATAATATGGGATCATATAGACAGTTAGACTAAGAATATGGTCCATTTTAAATGGCTTTAGAATGTTTAATGTTTTCATAAATTGTAATTATTCGAAGCAAAAAAAAACCGTAGAATAAAAATAACTTTAACTGTCCAATACTTTTTTTTGCTTTTACATGGTAAGGTGTGAGTATAACCAAAAATTGTAATCATAAACCTTTCGCAGTATACTATAATCTATAACCCAATATTTAAAACATAATAAGAGATTGTATAATTGTGTAATTTTTAAATACTATTCCCTCTGCTTCACATTATTTATAGTTTACAGATTTTTTACACAAATTAAGAAAACACAAAATTTTCAATTAATACATCTATTTTTTATAAAATATCATTAACTACAACTAAATCAACCAATAAGAAAATATGATGTAACCAATAAGAAAATATGATGTAAAACATAATTGGTCTAAAACTATTAAGTACATTTAATTTTTGCATAGAAAAATAAAACTAACACTTATTTTGCAAAAAAACAAAATCCTAAAACTACATATAGAAACAGAGGGAGTAAGAGATTCACCCCATTTTTAGATCTTTTAGATTTTTTCCTTAATCTTATACTGTAATTATTATTGCCTTCTTGGAATCATAAACAGATAAAGTATGAAACACGTATCCTAACCGTCCAAATAAGGTCGAATTGGTAAACCAAGAGTTATAAGCAGAACCAGAAAACTATGTGCCCTGATGTGTATATATATAACACACGAATGGACAAAAGATAACATGACATACCAAAAGCAATACCAAATGCAAACACACCACATGCAGCAACAACAACTCCATCACTTCGTCTTTGTCCACGGCTCATGTCATGGAGCATGGTGCTGGTTCAAACTAGCTGCAAAGCTCAAGCTCGATGGTCACCGTGTGACAGCTATCGACCTTGGTGGCTCCGGTGTCGACACGAGGCAGCTCCATGAGGTTCGTTTGGTGTCGGCGTATCTAGAGCCTTTGATGAGTTTCATGGAGTCTCTCCCTGAAAACGAGAAAGTGGTTCTTGTTGGTCATAGCTATGGTGGCATTGGAACTTCTCTTGCTATGGAAAGGTTTCCGACCAAAGTCTCTGTCGGAATCTTCCTCTCTGCTTACATGCCGCACCATGACTCTCCTCCGGCGGTTTTGATTCAAGAGGTCGCCGAAAAAAGAAATTAGTCTCTTCTTATCTTATCTTGTTTGGTACCATTCTTAAGAACTTATCTTATAATCTCTTGTCACTTTCTGTTTGTTTGCAGTATTTTACGAGACTACCAGAGGGTTTCGCTATGGACTGTGAGTTTACATTCGAGGAAGGATTAGAACACCCACCAAGTTCAGTTTTGTTCGGTACTAGTTTCTTGAAGGAGAAGGCATATAGTAATTGCCAGTTAGAGGTGAGTCCACTACAGTTATGATTATGGCATAGTTTGTCTGAGATCAGGTGGTCACTGATTGGTAATCTGATTGCAGGATCTAGAATTAGCCATGGCGTTGATGAAACCAAGCTGGTTATACACTAAGGAAATGGGAGGTGAAGATCTGATAACAAAGGAGAGGTATGGATCTGGGAAGAGAGTGTTTATTGTCTGTGAAGGCGACAATGTGGTTCCAGAGGAGATTCAGAAGTGGATGATTAGTAACTACGAGCCTCACGAAGTTAAGCGGATTGAAGAAGCTGGTCACATGGCTATGCTCACTAAGCCTCATGAACTTTCTCAACTGCTACAAGAAATAGCAGCGAAATATAACTAAATGTAAAATGATGACACCTGTGTATGATTTGGGCTCAGTTACATCTATGATATGAATAAGAGAGTTTCAATATTTGTGATTCTTGATATTCTACACTTCATTGCTTACTCTAATTGGCTGGGGCAGTTTCACATTAGCTTGACTAGAAAGTATCTTATACCATTCAGATTTGGATTGTGGAGGCAAGAACATAATGCTCTCTGTTTCATAGCAGCTGCACCAACCAAAGAATGTAGGATCTCTCTGCAGAAACACAGCTCATGTCAGCTACACTTGTGTCAGAAGTACCCCAAGAAAATTCGATTAGACATGAGATTCTCAAACTTACATACACTTCTACTGGTGAGCCGATTAGTTTGAAATTTGATCTGGAAAGGAGACTTCTTTGTGTTGGCATCTGATCCTTCTGTTCTGTCTCAGAGAATCTCACCTGAGAAGCACCAAATTGAGAGGTTAGAGACTTATCTAGCAGCTAACAGAGAAGTATAATTTGTTGAATCTGACTTCCTAATTACCGCAACCCACAAACTAAGGATCACAACATTTTGCTAAACCATAAGCATATGACAATTTTCATATAACAGTTCTTTTGAATCCATATTTGCAACTGATTTACCTTTGGTCCAGATATATTACTCATGGGATAGTCAGAGCTCATGAAACCTTGACAAACTGCCTCACAATAGAAGAAGGTTTATTTAGCTGATTTATATGCGTAGGTGAGTTTACAAGTTGCGAAAATAAGACTGACCGTCGTAGAAGAGCCTCTGGGTTGTATGGAAACAGTTTCTTCTGATGTAGCTTAACAACTGAATTTTGTAACGAAAGCAGACAATCTTTGGCGTCTTCAAAAGCCTGGGCATGTAATCTCCAGTTTTGTTCAACCTCAGAAGTCTCAGGCAAAACTTTTCTTCTCTTCGGAGATGGAGCATCTGTACTTCCTTCAAACGGGAATTCCACAAATAGAGTCCATGAATCACATACTGCACGCAAGCATCTACCAGGAAAAAACAGCGGATGTCATATGGGAATCAACCTATAAGTATTTGTTTGGAAAATTCATAACGTAATTTGTGAACTAGAGAAATCATTCAAAGACTAGAGTACGAGCTAACATGGCTGGTCTCACACAAACTAACAGATCATATCCAATCTTATTACTCAAGATGGAGCAGTTGATATGCAAATTCTTAAGAGAAAAGGATTAACCTCAGCAGGTACTCTGCGCAGCTAGCCCCAATATCTTTAGATATAAGGTAATCAAGAAGTACTTGATGATCATAATGCAGCTGAAAACAGAAGACAGAGGTGAATGATGAACATATTACCAAGCCTAAATGGAAAATAGCACAAGAGATTATGAGAATGTTATATGAAAATTACCTCTGAAAGAAATATA